CTCACTGCAACCTCTACCTCCCGGGTTCAAGTGATTCTACTGCCTCAACCTCCCAAGTAGCTGGGACTACAAGTGCCTGCCACCACGCCTTGCTAATTTTTGTATTTTTAGTAGAGATGGGGTTTCACTATGTTAGCCAGAATGATCTTGATCTCTTGAGCTCGTGATCCACCTGCCTCAGCCTCCCAAAGTGTTGTTGGGATTACAGCCACCTTACCCAGCCAAAATTTCAACATACAGTGGTTTACAACTTTTACATTTACAGACTTTAAACCAATCACATATTTGGTTGTCTGCTTCCTGGTATCTTAATCTCATCAAAGCCAAGTGTCCAAATCATAAAGAAGACAGTCTGAAAAGGATCATGAAAGAAATGGCTTTACTAGGATGAAGCATATGTATATTTCATGTAATGCTCTATTTTAATAAACCGTGCTGTCTAGTTTCCTTAAAAGGGTGTGAATTCACTTTCTTCTTATTCATATGTTCTGTAGTTGTCCGTACCCAATGTTAATCTCTGACCTCTAGTACTATTTTAAAGTACCCCTTCCCCTGATATTTTTCTGTATCCTTTAGTTTTAGATGAGTCTTTTGTAAAGAGACTGTAACTGACTTTTGTTTTTCTTAATGCTCCCTAGCTTGGGTAGGCCCTGGGCTTTGTCATCTGTCCCAAGCACTCTCAAAGGCATAAAAATGGAAGCTTCAGATGTTCTCAAGGTGAAAGTTGGCCTCAGTCTTTGGCTTACCCCTCGGGATTCCTGCCTTCACTTAGTTTTTGATCCCAGAGTATTCCTAACTAACTTTCCAGGTCATCAATGCATTACAATAATTTTATTCTACATTGTTAGTTATTTTTAGCAGGAAGGTCAGTTAAGGTACCTGTTCTAGCATATTCCCAGAAACCATAATAATTTATTTTCTAATGTACAAATACCTAAGTCTGCATCATACTTAGAAAGTTGGCAGTATAAACAGATCATTTGTTTAGGATTTAAATCGGGAAAATATTTAGTATTCATAGTGAAAAATCTTTAAAAAGTCTGAGAAATATATATTAACTAATAAACAAGGTAAAAAAACATTTTTATTTCTTACTCACTTCTATAATCTTCCCTCCCCAACCAAAAATTCAATATCTTTTACAAATGTATTATTCTTCCTTCCAGATGTCCTAATCCTCTATTATGCTGACAGATAAGGTCAGGAAACTGGTTTTCTATTCTCAGTACATGACTCAGTAATTCTCATCTTTATATTTACACACATGATTTCCCACACTTCAAAATTCATGCCTTCCTTTGTTGAACTGATATCTGTTGAACGTCATATTTCTTTCTTTCAATACTATATCTCAGGTTCATTCCTCTGTAAGGAATTCCCATAGTGATACCACCTGGGAGTCCCTCTAGTCATCCAAACAATACCACAGTTAAAATTACAAACCTCATTTTAAATTAGGCAGAATAAATTGTCTATGAAAAGACTGAAAAGATACAAAGGACATTTTTTCTCAGTTTTAAAACTATATTCCACTTTAAAAACTGTTTTCTAGTAAACTAAATTTGGAAATTCTAACTCGTCTCTCATATTTTGAGTTGGATTTGGGAAAAGGATAGACAGAACACTCTTTTAAAACTCAAAAATGGAAAGATGCCAGGATGGGGCTTGGGGCACTTTTTCTAAAAAGGAAAGAATTGTCTCTGTGGCATAAGACTGCTGGCATATGCCAGCAGTTCTTTCTATTCATATCTCCAGATGTAGAGCCAAAGACCAAAAGCAAGAGTCTTAGAAGGACAAACAGGGCTTTCTAAGTGGTTAGGAGCAAACAAGTAGAGAGACTTGAGCTAATAGGAATCAAAGTAAAGATCTGGTTTGAAACAATTATGCACAATCTATATGAACCAGACAGAGCCCACAGCTGCCAGACCGTCCCTCCTGGATGAGTTAACTTTACTCACACTCAGAGACTGAATTAGAGTTACTTGAGCAAAAGTAAATATGTGTTAGTTAATGAAAGGGGATGGACAGCCTTTAAAGATTTGTATTTGCTTGTTCTAAGTTATGCCTTATCTGTAGATAAAAGTTATGATGCTACTAATCAAAGCACAGACAAAAGAAAAATGTTCTATCTTACAGAGAAGCCATAATCAGATAAGAAACGCATATTATTCTTTTAGTTTCAAACAACTGTGCCTCTGGGAAGCCTATTTGGATTTTTTTTTTTTTTTTTTTTTTTTGAGACAAGGTCTTGCTCTGTTGCCCAGGCCAGAGTGTCACGATCGTAGCTCACTGTAACTTTAAACTTCTAGGATCAGGTGATCCTCCTGCTTCAGCTTACTTCCCAAGTAGTTATGATTGAATATGTGCACCACCGTGCCTAGCTAATTTTTATTTTTTACTTTTTGTGGAGATGGGGGTCTCACTCTGTTGCCCACACTGGTCTCAAGCTCCTGTCCTCAAGTGATCTTCCCGCCTCGGCCTCACAAAGGGTTGGAATTACAGGCATGAGCCACCACACCAGGTCCTGGCTGTTTGGATTTTAAGGCCAAGGGGAACAAACTACTTGTTGACCCCTCAGTCTCAGGGAGGACCTGGAAAGAAATAGTAGCAGCAGTGCTGGTCTTGCAAATACAAACCTAAAAAGTGCTGTCTAAAAAAGGAAACTTCATACATGTCAAAGTATATCTCCTCTTATCCAGTTGCCTTTTCTTTTAA